TATGAAGTTGATAGGTCGGGGGAACCAACACACAAAACACCCGCCGCGCGGAGAGGGTGGGGGGGAATTTTGGGAGGTGGAGGCCCACTCATTTTAAAGTTGCTAAGGTTGAGGAACCCTGTCCTAAAGGACCAGACCAGCATCCTTCAGGGACCTCCTGGCCGATCAGATGCAGAGTCCTTCCTGTGTCCCAAGACTGAAGCCCACAGCTGGGAGGGATACGGTGATGCTCTGGCAAAACGGCAGGTATTTGAGAACATTTCTCCTTAGTCCAGTGCAAATTGCCATTTTAGTTTTGTGTTGTGCTCTTAGCGTTACCATTTTTCTCTGTGGCTTCATTTGCACAGCACACTTAACCTGAATTAACCCTCTTCTGGGGTTTCTGCAAAACACCGATCCATAAACTCCCTGAAGAGACTGGGTTCACACCGCATCCTAGGGGATTAAAAAAAGCTAAGCAGGGTTAACACTAACCAAGTTTAGCACGTTATGCCAATGCATTTCCTTGGTCGTCTTCGCCTCCCTCGATTAAATGTATGCAGCTGCTTGGTTTATCTATCTGATTTTATTATTTTCTTTCGTGCACACCCCAGGAAGATATTGTAAACCGCCGCTAGAATCCAAACATTAAAGCACCCAGTGAAAACCAGGATCTGCAAAAACCCACTGAGGAATTTGGCCCTTCTCCCAAAGGAAGCCTTGAGAAATGTCGGCTTGCACGAAAAACGAACAGAGAGACTTTTGTCTCCTTCCCCGGATCTGCGTTCACCAGCGCAGCTGGAATTGCCCTCTCCGAGTGGCCACAACAAATATTTGCCTTGGGCGCTTTGACACAAAAGGCCTGGCTTCATACCTGCGGCGCGCACTGGCCCATAAACAGCCTCCAAGGAGCCTGGCAGGGCTGGCGGGGGGAGGCTGAACCCTCCCTTGCAGCAGGTGGGACTAAGATCTTTTTCCTCCCGGGACGGAGTGGCACAAGCTTGCACGGCTGCGCCTCGCCTCCCAGCCGCACAGTCGGCCAGCGAGGCGAAAGAGCCCGGGGGCCGTCAGGTTATTTGGACTGTATCGGCTGCAGCCGCCGGCCAAGGGCCCCCGAAGCCCCAGGAGGGGAGACCTGGATGGGCACCTGGGTAAGTTCTGACTGTCGATGGGCACCTTGTGCTCAGCCTGGCAAGTGCCCTGCTGAAGCTCCTCTGGTTAATAAGCTAACAAGGAAGAGGGAGAACCAAAAAGGGGATTGCCTGGAATGGCAGCGGGGTGAGCAGGGTAGAAAAATGGTTTCCCTGATCTGAAAGGGAAAGGGGGCGAAAATAGTGGCTCTTTTGTTCAAAAACTCAGGATCAGTATTCAGTCTCCTGGGACCTTTGGCTGGGAGGCTGGACCTTGGGGCTGGTATTTTAATTTCCCATAATTCTCTGAGATAGCGCTACATCAGGGGCCTTATGGGAAATCAAAAGGCTGTATTTGGTAATCAGGCTAGGCAGTACCCTGAGCCCGCACTCAATTCATTGTTCAAAAATGGAATCACAACTTAAAAAAATGTAGGGAAGAAGTTTTATAATATCACCTAGTCTAATATCTATTTCAGTCTATCTACCTAGGTTTAAATGAACTTTTTTTCTAGACAGAGTTAGGTATAATAGGTATTTAGACGTTTGTTATTTCAACTCTCTAGTTCAGCTTTTCTCTGCTTTTTTCCTTTTCTCTAGTTCTTTTCTTTTTCCTTTCTGTTTTTCTTCTGTTATTAGCTCATTTAGTACAGAAAATCACTTTTTTCCCTTCACCACGTAACGTTTTAAATATACCCAATAGGCTAGGTTTCTTTTTACAACTACTGTATATTGCTTCTATATAATAGCCATATAGTTATGATATTGCAAGCAGTTCTTTTTAAGAAGGGTTACCTGCGATGCTTTTGAAGTTGAATCAAATAATCTAAAACAAAAAGAAAACTTTAGCCTGGCTGCCTGGCCCAAATATCAGAGGGGCTGATGCAAGGAAAAAGGAGATACACAATACATGCGAAATGCAGGGACTGAGAGAGAAACTCACGCTTCGGTGCAGAAGAAATGCAATTACTTTCCGAAAACAGCACTTTTTCCAAATTTGGCACGGCGCTTCTCTAATGGGAAACGGACATCCAAATTCCTATTTTGGGTCGAGGCGTGCACCAGGTCGATGGCAGAAAACCGCAGTCAGAAAGGCACAGTCTCTTCACCAAACGTCTACTGAAAAGCCACCCGTGTCTTAGGAACGTGGAAGACCATAACCTCATAAAGACGGTGGGAAGAGAGCAAAATGTGCTTCGGGCGGCAATAATAAGAGACAGCAAAATTAAACTGGCAAATGTATTGCTATCGCAACTTTGAAATGGAATACTTAAGCTAATAACAAAGTGAGTCTGAGTCCCCCCTCCCCACCCTGCCGCCCCGGCCCCCACAACATATACACACATATGCAGATTTAATTAACTGACAGACTAAAACTTGCCCCCGGGCTCACCGAACTCTGGTTTAAAGCTATGTTTAATAAGCTATGTTATATTATGTTAATAGGGCAGAGATGAATTCCCACCCTTGCCAACGAAGAGATGGTGCGACTAGGAAATGAAGCCCAGAGGCCGTGTAAAAACATGTGCCTCACCCTGTGCTCCCACTGGGTGGGGGCGTGCAAAAATTGTCACGCGGGGGTGCACATAGAAAAGGTTCTGGTTGTGTAGTCACTGACTTCCAACCACCCGTGGATGTCCCCGTCTGAAATAAAGCCAGAAGACTGTTCAGCATCCCCAATTTTCTGGCCTTAAAATGGGGAGGGGAGTGTTTGGGGTGGGGAAAGTTGCTTAATACAGCCCAGAAGGGGCCTACTCTGAGCATCTGGCAGCATCAGCAGCACCAAGCCTTTTCCTCCCATAGCTGATCCCGCCTGATCTCAGAATGTGAAGTGGGATCAAGCCTGAACAGTGCTTGGATGGGAGACCACCAGGAAATCTTCAGAGTGTAGGACAGACTGCTAAATTGAAAATACATTCCTGGAGAAGTCAGGGGCAAACTGTTTCCACACTGCTGGTATGAAACCTCCACAGATGTATCCTTTTTGCTACCAGCTCAGTTCCAAGAAGACTTTACTCCTTTTTTAAAGACAGTCGAGTTTTAAACAATAGCTGAATGATATAATCTGAAGAAGGGGGCAGGAGCAACAGTAAAGACTTTGCAGCCCCATACCTCCTTAACTCACAAAATCCTAATGTTTAATCAGTATTTAATATCTTTTTATCCTGCTTTTCAGAACAAAACCCTTCCCAAAGCAGATTAAACTTAATTAAAAATACTAAATGCATACACCCCAGTCGTAAAAAAATAAAAATGAAAAAAATCCCCACCATCTAAGTCATTCTAATAAGAAACAAATCAAATCCCCATCGCTGGCCTGTCTCGGGAGAAGCAACTGAGTATCTTATAATATCTTGTAGATGAATAAATTTAGTCCCAGAAAAAAACATCATTCAGAGCCCGCTGGCGCAGTTCATGAAAATTAACCAAATGTCAGGAAGGGATCAATAAATCTGGACAAGGAGGAACCAGGCATAATTCAAGGGGAACAACTATTTCAGAAAAGGACAGAAAGTTCAGAGGCTAAGTTCTTACAACATGTTCTTACCATGACCCAGGTAAGTTACAAATCTACCATTTGCATGCATCCAACAGGATAAGCTCGGTTAGTTAAACCTTGGTTTGTTTTTTCTTGGCGATTTAGCATATTCATGGGTCAACGTATTGAGCCAATCCAGAAAATCAATTAATTCACCCCCAACGGTGAAGTCTGTTGTGTGAACTCAGCCACCAAGCTGGGTGTGTGGTTGTGAACGTTTCCTATCAGAAATCCTCCACCATTCCTTCGATCCAAGTCCCATCAAGACAGAAAGAGAAAATTGACTTTTTTCAAGAAGGACAAATACGGTTCCGGTTCCCTTTCGTTAGTGCAGGTTTCAGTTAGAGTCAATGTGAAGAGTATAAAACAGAATAATCGTACTACGGCCATCATTTTTAACTGTAAAATGTTAAAACTGTAAAAAGAAAAACAGTATAATTGTAAAATAAATGAGAGCTAAGTGGGGTGGCTGCTGTATTTCTCCCCCCCCCCCCCCCGGTGGCAAATTACCCTGACACCCAAACCCCCAAAACAAGCCCAAATTGTGAGAAAGAGAAAGGCTAATCAGGACAAAGTGTTGAGTTCCTACATTTAACAGTCAGAGTTGATTTTAAGAGCATAAAAGATTGCAGATTTGCTGTGATGATCGTTGTGACTGCTGATCTGGTTAAAGGAGAGCTAAGAGGGGCTGAAACACTGATTGCAGTGGGACAGTCTTCCGATAAACCAGGGTTTCTCAACCTTGGCAGCTTTCAGACGCGTGGACTGCAACTCCCAGAATTCCCCA